TTAATTCTTTGTGATCAACGGGAAATTACATGCGATTTTTGTGGGTTTTTTTTGTCTGGATTTCAGCTTTATATTCAATTTTAAGTACGAGTGTAATCTCAAGATCAAGTTTACAACCACTCAAGATTGATAAAGGTTCCTTATCAATCCACTCGGCAGTCAGGTAGCTGTTATCTTGCCGAATGCACACACATGGGCAAGGTCAAATTCCTCCCAGGTATAACATATAACAAATAAACTTAGAAATGATGGTAAGGAATTACGTCAATGGGACGAGCATGTTAAAATTAATTAAATATTATTCGGGATAATTTCTCTTTAAGGAACATTTCAGCGATAATCTATAAGTAACGATACATTATCTATACGAGAGGGTAGTAGGACGTCGTTGTTATCGGCGGGAACCTGGAGGTTGGAGGATTTACGAGGCAGGGCGACAGGGCGGCTGATGGTGCAAGGCGATGGGAACATGGGGCTGCTGATAAGCTTCATAGGTTGCAGTGGAGATTGCTCCAAGTCATTTTTTAATGCTCCTATAAAAATGACCGGGTGGTCATTTCTGTAGTTGCGATCAAACTTTTTAGGTTGCTGCCATAATAAATTCTACGACTAAGCGCAGTCGATCTAAATGGAACCCCCCAAAATTATTTCTATCCCGTCGATGGCTTCTTCCACCTTTGGTTGGCATTTTCGTGCGTATTACCTTCTCGTAGGTTTCCAACCTAATCTCTTGTACAATGATATTATTAGCTTTTGTGTATCTGTGTAATCCCTTTGTCTATTCCCGATTCGTCTTGTATACCTAGTATAACGCTTCTGTTCTCCTTGCAATCTTCACTTTATTGCATTACATCTTGAAACTACTTGGAGTTTCTTCTTGTTCCTCAATTTTTGTAATTAAAACCCTCTTTTGCGTCTCTATACCGGATCGTAATTCCATACACTTCTAAATTCGTTGAATACATTGTACGTGGGTTTCTTTGAGAATGAGATTCTTTTTTATTTTGCCTTTATTTTTGAGTGAGCGGGGTTTCAGCCAATTAGGCTGCTCTACCAACCCAACCCGCTATACATCTACAAATATCCATGCCCGAACCCGGATTCGAACCAGGGACCCTTGGCTCCACAGTTCAGCTTTAACTGAACTGCTCCACACGGGCCGGCTTCCAGGTCGTTAAATGGAACCTCCATGTTCGCGCGCCAAAATGTAACTGCGATGTATCTAGGTAGGTATTTTTTTAATAAGTTTCGCAACGTAGCAGATCTAGGATGATTGCAAAAACGTAAATAAAAGGTTTTCGTTATGTACCAAACATAGCACTAACGGTAGTTGCTGTTCAGGGGAATTTTTCGAAAGAACAAAAATCCCCTTATATGATAGTTTTGTACGTCCCTCTGTTCCTCGTCTAACTCGAGAACGAAAAGAGACAACGATGTCAAACCATCGGCAATCGATTTCAATGATCAGTGCTAATGAATATGAGCCGGATTATAAGTCGTGTTTCCGAAAGCGAGCCGAGTGTCAAAAATTCCCCTACTGAAAACCGTATGCGATTCTTCGTATCTTCTTCCTGAAAATAGGATTCTTTTTTTGTATTTGCATCCCTCGGCTACCTCTTGTTGAAATTCTTCGGAAGATAGATAAAATAATATTTATTTATTGTACTAGTTATGGCTGTTTTCGATTTCTCTGTTTGTTTTCGTAGTTCTTACTTCTTTCTTATTCTTTGATTCCTTCGTTTTTTTTCGTTTTCTCTGTTCTTGTTTTCATCACTGCATTCATTTCCACAGTTTCAATATTGTCGTAGTATTCGTTTTTATTTGTGCTATTGTCGCTTTCACTGTTTTCGCTTGCACCACTTTAGTTCTCGTCGTTTTCGTTTTTTTGTGTTCATTTTCGCTGTTCTCGTTTGATGATTTCGCTTTCGCTATTTTTATTTTTTCTGACTATCGCTTTGTTTCGCTTTTTAGCGCATTTCCACAAAAATAAAAAAAATGCGCTATTGTGGCCACTTTGTCCGTCCGTCCGTCCGTCCGTCCGTCCGTCCGGCTGTCCGTCCGTCCGTCCGCTCGTTTTGCGACGCTACTAGTTCTTTATCTTAAGAGCTATTGTTCTACTTTTTTCGCTATTTGGTTCGTTATGGTGCCGAGTCTTGTACCAAGGAAGGAATTTTTTCTGTACCGCTTACAAAAAAAGTTATTGTAAAAAAAAACAAAAAACCGTTTTTTACATGTTCCATAACTTTACACTTTTGCCGTTTATTAACGATCCTAGAGATCGTTTATAATTTTGCATTGCTATCTGTCGTCTGCCTGTTGGTCTGTCCGTCTGTTCCTTTGGCTGTCTGTCCATCTACCTGTCCGTGTGAACGATAACTTTGTTTAGAAATGTTCGATCACTTTTACATCTCCGTTAGTTATGAACTGAATTGCATGAAATTCAATATGGGCATAGCCTTAGCCATATAATACGCAACGCCAAAAGTTGAATCGAATCGATTCAAAATTCACAGTGCCCTTTTCGCATCTCGACCATTTATAAACCGAATTGCAAAATTTTTTACTTATAAAAGCATTTGAATGAAATTTGATACATAGGCACTTGGAATAAAGGAAAATCAAACGCCAATTTCAAAATTTGGTTTTGCGCATGCGCAGTGCCAACTTTTTTATTTAATGGAAGAATTTAAACGAAATTTGATACATAGGCACTTGGGATAAAGGAAAATCAAACGCCAATTTCAAAATTTGGTTTTGCGCATGCGCAGTGCCAACTTTTATATTTATGGAAGAATTTAAATGAAATGTGATACATAGGCACTTGGAATAAAGGAAAATCTAGCGCCAGTTTCAAAATTTTATTTTGCGCATGCGCAGTGCCACCTTTTTTATCTATGGAAGCATTTAAGTGAAATTTGATATTTAGGCGCTTGGAACAAAGGAAAATCTAACATTAGTTTCAAAATTTAGGTTTGCGCATGCCCAGTTCCAACTTTCTTATTTAGAAAAGCATCGAAATGAAATTCTTGTCATAAACTGACATTGAAGTAGCACGACAAAAATGGATTGCCCATGTGCAACGCTATCTTTCATATTTGTGGCCGGATTTTTACGATTTTATAGAAGTTGCAACTTACAAATGGGAAATGAATGCAAGTGGAAATGCGCTTTATGTAAATCGTTTACGATTACTTTTTAACTTGTTTCGCATTCACTGTTCTTGAACTAGTTTTGCATTTTCAGGATTCCATTTTCGCCGTTTTGGCTATTTTTGAATTCGCTGTTCTCATACTTTCGTTACTTTCGTTTTCTTTGTTTTCGTTATCTGTGGTTTAAATTTTCAATGTTTTCTTTTCAATATTTCAGATTTTCTGCCGTTGCAGATTTTCTTTTCACCGTTCCCGGTTTTTTGGTTTTTTCATTGTTTTCCTGTATTTTACATTCGTCATCTCGTTTTTGTGATTTTTGTCCTATTTTGCGACTTTTTCGCATGCTTTATTTTCCACTATTTTTTTCTGTTTTTATTTGCTCCGTTTTATATTTTACGGATTTCACTTGCACTATTTTCATTTCTCTATTCCTGTTTTGGCTTTTCTCCTTACTGTTTGGTTTGTTTTCGTGTTGTTATTTTCGGTTTTTCTATTTTAGTTTTTTTCGGTTATCGGTTTTGTTGTATTCGCATTTTGCGCGGTTGCTATTTGCATTTATCACCTTCTCCACTCTAGTTGATTTTGTTCTCGCACGAAACACAAATTTGTCTATTTTTGTTGCTTTCGTTTTCAAAGTATTCGTTGTTTTCATTTTCGCTGTTCTCGCTGTTTTTATGTTATGTTTTTCATTTCTCTGATTCGATTTTGGTGGTTTTGCGCTTTGTTCGCATTCAGTGTTTCCGTTTTCGTTTTTTTTCTGTCTTCATTTTCACTGGTCTCACTTTCTTTGTTTCTAATTTCGCTATGTTCCATGTGTTCGTAGGCTTTGTTTATAGTTTTCGCTCATAGACGTTTTTGCAATTGCTGTTTTATGTTTCCATTTTCACAGTTTTTAGTTGCCGTTACTTTTCTTGATTTCGTTTTTGTTGTTTTAGTTTTAGAGGTTTTCTTTATTGTTCCCATTTCCTTTATTTTCTTCTCCTTTCTTCGATTGTTTGTACTCATTTCAATTGTGTTGTGTGACGCATTTTTGTTTGATTTATAAGATTTCACTATCTTTGCGCTCAGTGTTTTAAATTTTGCGATATTCAATTTTTTTGTTTTGAGTGTTTTAGTTTTCGCTGCTTTCGTCGGTTTGTTTTCGGCCGTTTCCACGGTTTACAATTTCATTGTTGTTCTGATCGTGTTGATGGCTTTCGTTTTTTTGTTTTCAGTGCTTTCTTTGTTTTCACTGTTGTTTGGTTTCTTTGACTTTGTTTTTACCGTGTTCGTTTATTTCATTTTCGTTTCTCTCGCTGTTTCAATATTCTCTTATGTAGTTTTCTTAGTTTTGTTGTTTTTTTAGCCGTTGTTTCCCCCTCCTTTTTATTTTTTGTTTTATTATATTTTTTAGTTTGTGATTCGCCATTTTCAGGTACAATGTATTCGATTTCGCCGTTTTCCACTTTTTCTTTTATCGGTCCGTTAATTTTCGCTGCTTTTATTGCGTTCGGTTTTGCTTTTTTCTGGGTTTGTCGTCTTCGTTTAGCTGTTTTCGGTTTTGCTGATTTGGAGTTTTGTTCTCATTTTAGTTATTTTTCTGTTTTCATTATTTTCAGTCTCATTCCGTTTGATTTTGAGCTTCTACTTTCGCTATTTGTTTTTTTTTTAGTTTTCGTTGCTTTTCTTGGGTTCTTTTTTTTGTTGTGGTGCCATAGGTTAAGTCTGAAGGTCCCGCCGAATGTGACATTGCATTTGGGTAGCAATCAATCCACAAGAAACCCATTCCATCTTGTTTCGCTTTCTTCATAGTTAGAATGGAACAGGAAAGAAAACGTGCACAAGATACAACAAAAAAACTTTATTAAAAAACAGTAATAGAAAATGAAGGGTTATTTTAAAGTCGATATTTTAATGCGTTTCCTTACAGCGTTGTTATAACCTTCCTTGTACTGATACCAAACATCGTATTTGAAATCAGCCTCTGCTCTACCTGAAACATACAAATGTAAATATTAAACGAACCGTTAAAAGAAATAAAGCAAAAATATCGAAAGGCAAAATCGTCAAACAAACGTATATCATGCCGAACTCGGCTGAAGAGAAAACGTAAAATTAATTGAAATATCTGTGTAATAAACCAAACAATAATTCTAATACGAGTAGCAATTTCATGAGTAAACAATAAGCTAATAATCTAAAGTCAACCCTCAAGGCAGGTTCTGGTGGTAATCCGGCGACAGACAATTACCAGCATCGTTACCGATAAATTACCGCTCCAGCAACCGCCGTAATTACATTCTTGGAAGCGTATAACTCAACAATTTCATTGTCGGATCTTCAATTCCCTTGTGCAAATTGCCTTAATGAATTAATTATTCATTTTCAACCAGGGTAATTATCGAAATGGAAAATGGAGTCTTATTGTTCGAATCGATTTTGCCTCTAAATAAAAATTCGAACATCATGTAAGAAAATAGTCAACTGAAAGTTTATATTGAAAACGAATAAAGGGGCCCCAACGTGGGGCTAGTTCAGATCCCTATGTAGTATGTGTGGCACTAACATATTCGAAATTTAAGGGACAAAGGCCGTAAAGAAACGCATAGAACTTAGCAGGAGACATGTAAACGCAAAGGAAAAATGTGATGGGAGTGGGAAAACCTTGAAAGTTGAGGGGGCGTAAAGGAACGACGCGTGACAAAGGAGTGGAAAAACTATACAAGAAAAAAATGTGAAAAAATGTAGGTCATTTAAGATTAATGTACCGGGTGTTGATATAAGTTGAAGTATCTTGTAGATGTCGAATGGAACTTATCCAGATTGTAGCATTTTACATTTTACTTAAGAAGGGCACTTTGAATTCATTTACGATTTTGTTGTTGGCTTTTACGATAGATCGGTGGTTTCTGTTTGTTATATGTGGGGCGTAAAATATTTGAATTTGTTCTTGTATTGCCATAATATTTTATTAACTATACTTTTGGTTGAAATGTAGCATAATTGATTTTTTAATTAAAATTAAAGGGGCACCCCCTCTGGCCGCCCTGGTGTGTGGTGTGTGCGATTTAAAGAAACGGACAAAAGTATTATAAAAAATCATTCTCCCTGAGTTGTAAAAGCTACTCAGTAGGTTTCTTGAGTGCTTCTTTTCAAACTTGACCTCTGTTCGAAAATGGCTAGCCGAAAGAAAGCCTCGGACGGAGATTCAAATGGTCTCGATCGAGTTAACCCTTCGAGATTATTTGTTCTTGTTTAGTTTAAAGTTTATGATTCGTACTTGGCTATGGAACTCAGTCCTAGTACCACCTTCGCTTGACCCGGAAGTCAAGTAAAATTGAATGTTATATTTCCACTTCTTTTGCACAATGCAAATTGAAAAAGAAGTGAGAAAGTAAGTCAGTACATATCCTGGAAGGATTGCAATAGCTCTTTTTTCCTTCCTTGTAATCAATGAAGTCCCTAGAGCTATTCTCGTGTGAATAAGAGAGGGCAACCCAAAAGTGAATTTGATTGTTGTTATTAACGTATTTAACTAAATTTCACTCCCCCTATTTCTTGTGTTTTATTTATATTGACCGATCCTTGGAGCAACACGTCGAGCAACTCTTTTCACAACACAACGTAGGTTTGTTACTTGACAATCATGCCACTATAGGGTTTTAGTTAGTTTTGGCGGGAGTTTTGATTTTTGTTTTGAGTTGCACAGTCCCAAATTCTCTAACTGAATTACCTCGCGTTAACAGTAACGACAAAGGCAACGATAAACTAACGACAAACGCGATTACCAACAGGTTACCTGCACGTTTGCCATTTCCAGTAATTGGGATAACATTTGCTTAGTGATTCTTCGATCTTACATACAACGTATCCGTTCCAGCTAATCGACAAGTAGTACTCTTCAATTCGAAAGCGAGTGTTCGCATTTCATCCAGTACACGGTATTTCTTTAATACGATCACCCCGATGCTCGTAACGTATAAAGAAAAATATATCCAAAAACTATAATGTCAAAATCAGACCTAATTCCAAATTAATTCAAACCCTAATAATAAATGGGTTTCGGATCGCGATATCCACAGATTGAGTGCACAAAAGGTGTATATGACAAATTTTTTTAGAGTTGGATCTTCATGTTCTGGTGATCGCTCCTGCTCAGTCTCAAATTAAGATATTTGATTGATACTCATATTTGTAACAAAAAACAAAGTAGGCTGATTTGTATGAAAATTGAAAGTCTGCCATAACTTTTAATTCTAAACCACTTTTTTATATACATTTTTATTACAAATCTGCTAAAATAAAGACAGTTTACACTTACCTCATTTTTAGAATTAGGCAAAAAAACACTCTGTATATTAATTGATTTGACTAATTTTTTTTAAATATCTTAATTTGAGACAAAGCAGGAGCGATCTTCAGAAATTTGTTAGATACCTATACACCTTATGTGCACTTAATCCGTGGGTGGACACACTGTAGGTAAGCCAAAGATAGATAATTAATTTATTAAAACATATGGCATAACCTCAAGAGGATTACTAACAGCCCTCCCCATTCGCGTAAAGACGCTTAGATAAATAGTTTAAACAATTTTATCCTGAAGTCATTCCAACGACAAAAGCAAAGCGAATGGTACCAACTACCCCTAACACACTAGGAACGCATTCAGTTAGTTACCCAAACCAAGAGTACATTCAACAGAACGTTACACACCACCCAATCTCCGATAAAAAATTTTTAATTCAATTCTTTTTACTTACTGAAATACGCCCTCCTCATCCTTGTTGGGAGAGGGCTCAGAATCATATAAACACAAGTAGGCTTTAAGATCTTTGACGTGCCAAGGACCTAAATTATTATTGTCATTACCTCATAAACTAAATTAGAAATTACCTTAGTAACGATACAGGGAATATATTTTGGAACTTACCTTAGCCAACCAGTCTTGCCATTCGACATGAGGTACTTTGTAAGTTGACGGTGCTACTTGGGATTTAAAAGATATTTGTGGTCGACGAGAAGAGCTATAGACATTCTGTAAGGCTTTCGACAAGAGCTGTTTTAAAACACTACAGATACTTTATTCGATACGCGATTTGAATTCTTCAATGCTTTTACACAAGTTACTCGGTATGATGCTCGTAACGTACAAAGAAAAATATATCCAAAAATTGCAATGTCCAAATCAGATCTAATTCCAATTAATTCAAACTGACATACGCCATTAATAAATGGGTTTCGGGTTGCGATATAGGTAAAAAGGTAATTAATTTATTAAAACATATGGCATGACCTCAAGAGGATTACAGGCCTGTCCCATTCGCGTAAAAATGCTTGGATAAATAGTTTAAGCAATTTTAGCGCGATGACTTCCGCTTCAGAAATCACCCTCTTTCGCAAAAATCAGACCTGTCATTTCAACGACAAAAGTAAAAGTGATATCATCTCAATACCAGTGGTACCAACTACTCCTAACACATTAAGAGCGCATTCAACGAAACGTGTATTTTAGTCATACCGTGGCATAACGAAGGAAAAAACTGCACATAAAAAGTGTGTAGTAGAGGGCGTACATAGCGAGAGGAGTCGCCAAGCAGAGAGGCGTATAGAAACAATCAATAAGGCGTTACGAAAGTTTGCTTGTGAAGCAAGTGTGAAAGAGAGTAATCAAAAAACAAAAGTGCCGTGACGAAAGCGTTAAGAATGTGTACATAAAGTCTAAAAGGAGCGTAGAAGACCAAAAGGGAAATGTAAAGGAAGCGTTAAAAAAGATGCGTAAGAAGGAAAAAACGTATAAAGGAAGCAGGCATGAATATGTCGTGAGATATGAAGGAGTTTTCAATGAGATCTGAAGGAAGTCGTAGGCAGGTGCTAAGGAAACAAACGTATTGAGTCACACGATAAGAACATGCAAAGGAAATCAGATAAAAGGTGCTGCAAATGGTTGAGGATGAAGCGCTAAGGTAGGAAGCCTACAGAAGAAGCTGTGACAGATGTGTAAAGATGCCGTGAAAAGGTGAAGGTGAGGGGCAAAGCGGTTTTAAGGTAAGAGTAATGAAGACATGAAAGAATAAGGAAAGCAGACGTTAAGGTGGTGTCCATAAGGCGCAAACCCGGGAAGCAGACGCGACCAAAGTGGGAGGAGTACTCGCGAAGGTATTGACTGATAGCGGGCCAGTGAAAGTTGATATGGGTCCATTGACTTCGGTTGAGCTTGGAATTGTAATTTGACACCAAACCAAAAATGGGCCCATTTGCCTTGGTTGAGCTCTAAAATGTAATTAGACACCACAAATATGGGGGCCATTGGCATAGAATTGCCTCGAAAACATGTAATTGAATATCACAAAAAAATTTAGCTATTAACCTTGTGAGACCTTGAACATGTAATTTGACGCCCCCAAAAAAATGGGTTCATTGACCTTGAAAATGTAATTTGACACCCCAAAAAATGGTTTCATTGACCTTGAAAATGTAATTTGACACCCTAAAAAATGTAATAAGTTAGAAGTCTGATGGACGCAGTCCGAGGATACTGAGACTCTCTGACTATGTGACTCGGCACCGACTCGTTCACCATTATTAAATTAACAAAACAAACAATGCTTTAAAATTGTTGTCTTGGTGACAATGTAAATAGAGTTAAAGAGTCAAGAACAATATTATTGCACATTAAATGTTAAAACGGTATGTGTAACTAGCGCAAAAATTGAATTAAATACAAAATCTAAACTTACTTGCGTTAGATGCCTTCGTAATAACTCGTCCGAAAAAGTCCTTCGTGACCATCTGAAAAGAAAAGTTTGTAAACTTCAAAAGCGTAAACATTAAATGATGTAGAAATTCCGTTTTGATAAATGCGAAAGTAAACGAGAAATAGAGGAGTTTCTTTTACTGATGATAGAATTACATTTTACTGAAAAGGCGAAACAAATATTCCGCTATTTCGCTTATAAGTTAGGATAATTGATGTTGGTAACATCAAACAGGAAACTGTCGTGCCGGACCGGAGAGCTATGGTCGTTTCCTTCCGTCGGCCATTGAAGCACTCGGCTTGGGCGGCGCTGAGTTAAAGTAATGTGGCGCTCAGGTTAACCGACATTCCATAATAACGTCGTTTCGTCCAAACCTGAGATAACGAGCGCAAAAAACTCGGTCGGGGGTAAGGCGGACGCCCGCCGCCGCCGTCGTCGTAATAATAGGAGCGCAATTACGTAACGGAGGGGATCAGCAACGTCAAGCGTAAGTATTCCACTTATCCAGAAATCTCGAGTTATTTTCCGATGATATTTCCGCCGTAGAGAAACGACCTTAAATAGTAAATAATCCCCAATAAGTCTACCAGAGATTTATTTTCCGAGACATTTGTTTTCCCACTCCCATTAGAATTGCATTTCTTCATCTTGAGAGCACTTGGAGAGTCGCAAACGGAAGTAGGAGAAAGACGACTGAATCAACTATCTGTTTAACGACCTAAATAAAAGAGTTTCGGATGGCTAAATGGAATCTGCCGCTTATCCTCTCTGGCTCCTCCCGCTCCATTACAGAAGAGCTTCCGTTTCTCTAACCCATTTTAGCATCCCTACAACATGACGTGATTTCTTGGCTCGCTTTTGTTGCTTATTTTTACCTCTAAATACGTAAGCGGATACCGCCGGAGATTATCTACGCAATTACCTGTGAGAAATTAGAGCGACTCCATCCTTAGAGCGGGCGTCCGATCGAACCTCGAAATGTAAATATTGCATGAATAATGCATGCGAAATTTGCAAACGTACGAAGTGTCGAAATATATATTTGGCCTTATGTGGCGTATAAACGGGATCATTCGCTTAGCCGATTTTTATCTCTAAATAAAATGTAGAGAAACTCGATATCGAGGCGGCGACGAAGACCTTTCGAGAGTTAGTTAAATGGCGTGGTAACTGCCGTGTTGTATGCGGCCATAAAATATACGCCTGTCCGATGTTTCCTTTTTCGGAAAAATTCAGAAACAATACCATACATTTTAGATACATTTATTTATTTCGAAACATTTCTTTTCGAAAAATATACGCGCCATTTTGGAACAACCCACATTTCAGATGGTTCACCTTCTAGTTTGCAACTTTATGTTTTAGGGGCATTGCTTATCGTTGTAAGGTAAACAAGTATCAATTATGCACAACTCTTGTGCAGATAAAGCGCATTTTTTTAACCGAAATAGCTTTGGTTGTGACATAACCAATGGATATATTTCTTGCAGACGTCTCAATCGCCCTTTGTGAGTACCCTCTTCCGACAATCCGTTCTGGAGGTATAAGGGAATATACCCGATCACGATAAGAGGTTGAGGAAGAGGGCTATGGTTGGTAGAAATTAATTCCTTTCGTTGAGACCTTTCATTAGAGTACCATGAAGGATAAAACCAGTTCCACCCCCCCCCCCCCTCCCTCTGTACCTAGTACTTTGATATGAGGACAGACAGAAGGGCAGTAGTTGGTAGAAAACGGTTCCTTTCGTTGAGACCTTTAATTAGAATACAATGAGAAGTAAAATTAATTTTTAGCCCCCCCCCCCTCAGGCCCCCTCGCTCACTGATCTCTAAAAAGAGCCGCACGGGAAAGATATAGTTTGTACAAACCAATTTATTTCGATGAGACCTTTCATTAGAATACCATGAAGGGTAGAGCATGTGTTTACCCCCCCCCCCCCCATTTCCTAATTTCTTGAAGGTGTGCCAGACTAACCCTATAAATCCAAAGTTTACCTAACTTTATTTTAAAAAAATGCAAAAGAATCAAATACAAACTAAGAGCTACCGTTACAACCATCACGGTTAATCCAAACCAAATGTTTTTAAAGTGGGGAGGGGGATATCTTAACGTTTTCAAAAGTTATATGTATGGTTGTTATTTGAGATAGAATACAATTTCGATCACGGTATTTGAATTTGAAGTCAATGTGAATTTGGTTAAATTTTTGGTTGCTCAATTTTTTTTTAATAATAGCATAGTATTTTGATTTTATTTTCTTGTTCATTTAGAAAGATTAGGAACTTTTAGAGATGATGTTTTGTTAAAGCTATCTCATCTAAATCCGGTCGTTACGATAAGAACTTTGTTATCGCTGCGTAAGCTCATTAGTTTCAATATAAGCACAGGTTATCGCAGATGTTTTTTCGCCGTAGTGAACACCTGTGTTTAATTTACTCGAACAAGGCGCAGAAAATTAAGAAAGGAAATAAAACGGTAAAGATGGAAAACCGAATCATGGTTGAGTTCCTGGCTACCATGCGGTCTCGTCCGTAATTTCGAAATTAAATTTTTACTCGAAATTCTACGGTTAATACCTAATACCACGTTTGACCAACATATCCTTATTCAGTGGTTTAGAGCAGATGACCCCAATTAAGATACTCACTTTATCTCTAGTTACAACGACATCTCGTCTCCAGACATCCCCAACTCATTATGTAAACAATACCCTACAGAAATTAAACGACGCAGAAAGGACAATATTAAATTCCACCAAATACTTACAAATTTACTCTTGAAATTTCAATAGCCACATAATTTATTGGAAAATCGGCCCTCTAAATTTCGACACAATGTTAAATTTTCCATGATATGTAATGCCCAACCTGCTCTAACCCTAAAAATTCAAACTTTGAGATTGACAACTTCGATCATGGTATTTGAAGTGGAATGTGATTTTGTTTAAAATTATATGTTGCTTAATTTTGTTTAAATAACAGCGTAGTATTTTGAATTTATCTTATTGCTCATTCAGAAACATTAGAGACTTTTGGAAATAATGTTTTGTTAAAGTTAACTCGTTTAAATCAGGTCGTTGCGATAAGAAATTTGTTATCGCTGCGTGAGCTAATTAGTCTCAAGATAAGCAAGTTTTAGTTCAGTTGGTTTTTCGACGTTTAATTTACTCGAAAACGCGCAGAAAATTAATGAAGAAAGAAAAGAAAACGGTAGGGGTGGAATGTTTAAAATAAGCGAACCGGACGCTAAACGAGTTTTTTTGGTGGTGGAGGCTTTTGGTGTATCACAGTCAGCGGTAGTTGAGCGTATTTTTTTACAAGGCCGCCGTTTTTCCTAGCTGTAGAGTGTTTGTAGAAGAAAGTGGATATATAGGTTGGACAAACAAAAAACGGAGCAATTTCTGATTCAAAACTAGCATTCCACAGAAAAGACCTACATAAAATTATTCATTGATCAAGAGGAGAAGTTATTACGTGTCCTACATTTTCTCGATTCTGTATATTTAGCGGTATAAAGGCGGGAAAGAATAACCCCAGTGCATTGGGCACTGCGTGTCGTGAAGGCGGCCAAATAACACGTCAGTCGCAACCCTAGCGCTGGAAGTTCAAGTGTGAGAGGATGTTTTTGACTTTTACTGTTCCGATTTTGACTTATTTCTCGACTTCGCAACTTCAGGCGACTGTAATGGTAGGATTTCCTAACTTTTGTTGTTGTTACGTGGACAAATAGTCCTTTTAAATACGGCTCTGGATGTTTAACTGCGTTTGAAAGCTGACGACACCGCTGATTCGTGAGATATGGCATGACTAGTTCCAATTACAAGAAAGATTTTGTATATTTTGCAGTCGTCGTGATTGAGGTGTGCAAAAAAGCACCCGGTTTTACACCATGGAATCTACAAGCTTTAAGGAACACTCAGTACATGGATGAAACCGTAAGTGCGCTTCGTTACTACAAATCGTAACGTCTAGATATCATTATGTATATTCCAGGAGGAATGGAGTGCGAAATTAATTGCGTTAATCGTATTGCAACGGTCCATTTATCAGTTTTGTAACCGTTCCCGTAGAGATATGTAAATTATCTTTGCAACATCCGAGGGAAGAGGAGGAAAAATTAATATTATAAGACTTCAGCTCCGTGAAGTAATTGTTGACCGATTCAAGTTTCCCAATGTTCATTGAAAGCGAGTATAACATTGCAAGGCCGTGCAGTTTACGTAGATGACGAACACCTTTGCGATTGACCTAAACATTCCTACTAGACCACTGAATTTTGGTATTTGAATCCGGCCAGTTAAGTGAGTATAATTAACCACTCCATATTCCGCAAAACCCACTTTAAAAAAATGTACAACCTCAAAAAATACAACTCCAGACCCTAAACCGGAAGAACCTTTCTCTTGGATCTAACTTCAAATATCGAAACTAATAAAAAGTTGCTTGCCCACATCTATGTGTCCTTTTTTACTCTAGCAAATCGTGTATTGTTGAAGGAGGAAAAATGGCATACGTATATCGTCTTGAACCAAACCCAACTCTGACCAACTGATGACCGCCTTATCCTTGAAAAGCGTTATATTATTGTAGTTTATTGGTGTTTTTGTTTTATTTTTGCAAGTGCCTTATTTCCCAAACTTTTTAATGTGCTTGAAAGAACCTGCATTTTTGTTTTTTCCCTGGCATCAAAACCTATATTTTCCGACAACAAGAATGTGAAAATCACCCCCTAATTACCATCCCAATTGAAAATAATCATTACCACTTCACACTTCACTTTATCTATACTTCGGTTTAAAGTGCATAGTTTTGAAAAAAAGAGCTTAAAGTGAAAAAAATAACTTTACTTAATCTAATTTAATTCATCTCATTAGTCACCACCTCGTCGCCACAATTCATGCGTTTTATCGCATAGTTTAAAAAACTAAATTTAATGACTAATTATATTCTAGTTTTGATTTACACTTCCGCTATTGTTATCTATTTCCGCTTCTGCTTCCGTTATAACACTTCCGTTGAATCACTGTTACATATG